TTCTTTTCATAACGCCTGATAAACTTAATAACATTATCTTTAAACGAAGAAAGAAAATCACAATATTGATCCATATTTTTAATCCAATCTAAGCTTTTGGCTTACATAAGCCATTATCAAAGATGACAATTACTGTACAATATATTAAGCAATACACGGACAAGAATGTGATGATAGTCTGTTTCTGTTTACATGGATGATTTCCAAGCAACGATAAACACGTGCATATAAGACGCTGGAAGCGAAAATTGCACCGCAGCTCATGACGTCACACATGACCACGGGAGAGTGAATTCGAGAAGTATTAAGTATGGGAAGCCGTTGGTATAAACCAATGGCTTCTGTTACCAATTATAGACATTTAAGGATATTTGTGGAGATTTCATAGTTTATATATATGTGTGTGTGCGAGTGTGTGTGCGTGTGTGTATGTGTTTAAAAATTTTAGATACCGTAAATCTGTAAAAGGACAATATGAATAAAGACAAAAGGAAAAGATGTGTTAGCCGACGCCTTTCGTCCTCTAAGAGATTTTATCTATGTAAATGCAAGGTTTTTAATTTTGTAACAAGTATCTATATACAAGAGGAAAAATGTTACTGGTTTTTCAAAATTAAAAAAAGTTCTAAAACATTACTTACGCATTTTCATTTATTAGACATTGAATTGTATCACTTCGTGTCCCCCATACCTTAGCTAACGTTTCAGCTATACTGATGAATATTTATGTGCGTTAAAAAAAGTTAAAAATTAAAAATTTTTTTTTTGGTCGTGTATATAAATACAAAAGTGGGCAGCTGAATTTTGGAGGGGAAGGGAGTGTTTTGAATGTGACCCAAGGTCTGGACATTCTGCAACTGGTACCACCGGAAAAAATTGATCATGTTCACTACATGGTGATTAATGATTATAAATCAAAGAGCATATCCTATGAGAGATTTGAGAATATTCTGCACAATAAACTTGACATGATCAAGGTTTCTGCTAGGTGGGTGCCATGTCTTCTGACACATGACCCAAAGTACACAGGCTGAACACATCACGAAAAATCAGACATTGTTTTAAGCTGATCAAACTAGTTTCCTTGAACTTTTCCTAATCCAAGAGGAGTACTGTATTCATATCTTTGAGTCAGAGTCAAACGGTCATCCATGTAGATGAACCCCAACCACCTGATCCAAATTATACCAAGGTCGTTTCATCTGCAGGTGAACAGATGATAATCAAATTAAGAGAACAGAGGGCGAAAGCCATAATCACGCACAGCAGCCATTGACACCAAGAACTCGTACTCTGGATCAGTGTTCTCATGAATGAAGACACCTTTCGTTAGTTTTGCTGGACGTTTGGCCTTGTTAGACTTTCGTAACGGCCTCAGCAAGTTGGCATATTAATCTCCATTGATGGTGTGAACCTTTTGAAGTCAATAAGCACTATGAATTTTGCACCCTCAAAGTCTGAGGCCATCACTTTCCCTGCATTTCTGCAACAATCGAGGCGAAGTCATTCAAAAATTGCTGCCTCGTGAACGCACAGGAAGAAAGAAGGATAAGAAAACGCTGGGTGACAACGACGACATAAAAATGACATCGAACACAACGAAAATATTTACTCTGCCAGTAACTGGTCCGGTTCATAACATTTAATGTCATTTGTCCGACAACTGGCGTCACCGAAAGCGTTAAATCGAATTTTCAATAAGAATGTAAATGTAGACAACTAAAGGGAGATAAACACTATATTTGAAAGGCGTTTTTCTTAAATTATCCAAACGTGTGTACCCATGATATATAAATTATATATTATAAATTATATATATATATATATATATATATATATATATATATATATGCATTAAAAATACTGTTAATCTATTGAATGATGTGATCCTCATTTATAAAACTGTTGTCAGATGTTTCTAGTGCATATTTTTTTCAAGTTAAGCAAGTACTTTCGAAGATCCATGTCTTCATCATTGGGCTGTAATTTTTTTCCCTTAAAGTTAAAAGTTGAAGACGAAATAATTGTTTGTAGACCGAAAGATGTTTTTTTTTTAAGAATGTGCTATTTATTGGCGGTTGTACAATCTCGGAATGTGTGAGTCACAACGCTAAAGTTCAATGGATTAACAGAATTTTCTTTTAATCATTTCATTCCAAGCAAAGGCAGGAATTCCACTAGTATTACAGTGAGTGAAGGTGAGTGAAAAGAATGAGTACAGGGAGAATTGAGAAAAGGACAAAAGATGAACGGGATTCAAATAGATAAAAGATGAATTATGTTGCATTAAAATTTTTCAAGATTCTAGTCATCAGGGAAGCAAATAAAGGGAAGAGAGTTCCACAGGTGGGAAGCCTGAGAAAAGGAAGTTTTGGAGTAAAAGTAGCGTTTGCTATGTCCGAGCGCGTTCGGCTATTCTTTTAACCATAATCAAGGATTTTTTTTTCTTACTTTTAACTGAGTGTATGGATTTTTCTGCAAGTATTTCGAGTTACAGGAATGTTTCATTTTCAAAACACGGTCAGCACATTGTGGGCGTGTTCATACTTGATGTTATTGTGTATTGGCCTTTTTTTTCTTTATTAATAAAGCTGCCATTATTTTTAGCAGTTTTTACATGTGGATGAGGCTGCTGTATTTGTCAGAGAGTATATATATATATATATATATATATATATATATATATATATATATATATATATATATATATATATATGTGTGTGTGTGTGTGTGTGTGTGTAGAGACAGACAAAAAGTCAATAAAAAGTAACTGATGTATAAATCTATTGTAGGCGTAAATAAAGCAGTATTTACCATAGTGGGAGTAGCGGTTTCCGTCGTCGTCGTCGTCGTAATTGTAGTTAAGAAGAAAAAGGATGGTTAAAGCAAATAAATAAAAACGCCATTCAAAGGATGTATAGCCTTTGTATTCTAGTCTTCACTCTCGGCATGGCCGAGAATGAAGACGAGAATATCGCTGTTTAGATCACAGCTGAAAGATAACCTTATTGTCAGTACCGAATATTGATGGTCACTTGTGTACAGCTTCTAATTGGCTGTTGCTGGAGGCCTACGTCCGGGTGGAACGGGACCATATTGGGGTGGAATTAATGGTGAGATATTTTGGACAATGCTTGACGGACAGGTGAAATGTTCTATAGTCAGAATAATGATAAAGAGTGTAAAATAACCAAAGAATGATTGATGATGTTGAAAGGAATGAAGAAGAAGGAACTGGGTTTTAGAATGAAGAAAATGAACGAAAATGAAAAGCGTTAGAAAGAATTTACAAGGCGACTGAAAGAATTGTTTTGAGAAAAAAGAGAGAGAGAGAGAGAGAGAGAGAGAGAGAGAGAGAGAGTGGTGGGAAAGAGCGCGCACATGAGAGTGACATAGAGAGAGAAAACACGAAACATAAAAAGAGAGCAAGAGAGAGATAGAGAGAGGGAGCAAGTAAGAGAAAGAGATGAAGGAGAAATTAAGGATATAGTCAAAGTTAAAAAGATGTGAAATACATTGAATCGAAGAAAGACCACAAAGCGCAAGAATATAAGAAGGAAGAACAATAGAACTAAATATAAACTTAGTATTATGACCAATTCAAGAGAATTGGAAATGAAAAGATTGATTTGCGCCAGTCCTCCAAGTAGGTGTGTGTGTGTGTGTGTGTGTGTGTGTGTGTGTGTGTGTGTGTGTGTGTGTGTGTGTGAAATGCCTGCCTTGGCATGCATTTAGATTCCTGGCATTTTAATTAAGCCTCAGATCTAGGGTTATAAATGGCTTCAAGCGTATGAAACCTGTAGGTATTGTCAAGGGTTATATTTCTTTGAAACTTGCCAACTGGCGCTACAGAATTACAAACAAAGAGCGATACCAAGTAACAGAAAGCACATCAAACGGAGACATTCAACAACGGCAACAACTGAAATGGATAGCACATGTAAGTCAAAGAGAAAATAATGACATAATCAAAATGCTGACATTCGACACTACTTCAAACAAAAGCTTAGGAAGGAAACGCCCACCGTTACTGGAAAGAGCAATAACAGTTACTGGACTTGATTGATGCATTTTGCTGAAAATATGTTTTAATAGAAAGATTTTATATATCTCAATCGAATATAGCAATGGTTTGCTCGATCAAGTATTGGTTAATATTTCCTTATAAGGAAACGGCTGATATTATCATTGCCATCACCATTCAAATCAGCCACTTGCTCCACTGGGAAATATCTTACCATGCAGATTCATAAAGTAATCTATCTATCTATCTATCTATCTATCTATCTATCTATCTATCTTAATCTGTTCATATCACCTTAGTTCATATCTATCTATTTTATCTGTTCATATCTATCTTAGTCTGTTCATATCTATCTATCTATCTATCTATCTATCTATCTATCTATCTATCTAACGTACAAGACAATTTTTCTAGTCAGAATCTATTTTACACATTTATAAGTCTACCATTTACTCATGCATAGAATATTGTTCTCAGATCTAATCTGGTGCTTCTGCTATACATTTGGATATTCTTGATAAAACCCAAAGAATCTGTAATGTTATTGGTCTTGATCTAGGTATCTTGACTTCAGCCAATTTGCCCTCGCCGTAATGTAGCTTTCCTGTGCCTCTATTTTATAAATATCTTTATGGTAACTGTTCTGATAAGATTTCTTCTTGAGTACCTCGACTTTATGAATTTAAGCGCAATACTGGATTGATATAATGATAAGGTCTAAATGGGTAGATATAACCGTAAGTTCTATGCTAACACTTTCTTCTCTCGCACTTCTTGCTCGTGGAACTCACTTCCGACCTCTTGCTTTCCAGCAAACGTTGATCTTCAAAAATTTAAATGCAATGTCAATCATTATCTTTTGTCTTCTTAACTCCCGTGTTTTTTATGACTCCTTAATCATATTTTTGCTTTATCATATTTTTCACACTCAGTATTTCCTTGTGTGTGTGTGTGTATAAAATATATACAAAACAGATTAAGATGTGCAACCGTAGAAACAAAAGAATGAAAAACTAGTTGAGCAAGAAGAGAAAGTAAGAAGCTGACAATTAAGAAAGACAGAGAATCTGAGATAAATAAAAGTGAAAAAGGCAGCAAAAAAAAAAAAAAAAAAAAAAAATGTAGAGAAATAAAACTAATAAAAACTTTGAGAAAAAGGGAGATAAAAACTGATAAAAAAAAGAAAGAAAATTCTGCTAGAAAAGGAAATAATAAAAAGAAAGAAAAAGCCTGTCGGTTTACCTCCTCCTAATTTTTGAAACCGCCACTAGGGGACGTTCTCAGGACTATAAATACTCTACATTAACTTTTTATCACTCTCTTCTCACGCAAACATGTAACCCCTCGCGGAAAACGCGTTCCCCTTTTGGGAAACACACACACACACACACACACACACACACACACACACACACACACACACACAAACGTACGCACGCACATTCATTCACTACGTATGCTTTGGTCCAAAACGGTTTTCATATTCATTTGACGCACACATCTTTGTCTTTGTCACTTGTAACCCTTTATTGTTAATATATTATCATTTATTTGTACGTATATATTGACTCTTGATATTTCCTTATATGTCTTTATGTGGAGTCGCATCCCGAGTCTGCCATGTTTGTTGTGGATATTTCAGGAGACACATGTGTTTATTTCTCAACGCATAAAACGGCCCGCAACAAACCGTGAAGAAGTGTGAACAAAGCTGATGAAAAAAGAACGGGCTGAGAAATGGAAGAGATTTACAGAAGATGAGAAAAAGAAAAATAAGTGGCGAAAGGTAGAGTGAGAAAAATAAAACAGAAAAAAAGAAGGAAAATAGGAAGAAAGGAAGAAAGCGACAAAAAAGAAGAAGAAACAGAGAAAGGAATAAAAAAAAAAACATGTAGAGAATCTGTGTAAAATTGAAAGACTGAAAATTTAGAAAGAAGAGAGCAAAATAAATATGTAGAAAAATGAATGCATGTTTAGAAAAAATGAATAAGTTGAGAAGCGAAAAGATAATGTATAGAAAATAAAAAAAGAAAACGAATATATATATTTTTTAATCAATAGACACCAAGCAAGGCGATAATGCCACTAAGACGCAATGGGCTTTTGGGAGTAAAAGACTTTAAAAGAAACCGGAAAGCGAATCTTAAACAGAAAACAAGGGATAAACATCTACTCCTTTTCAAAAGACCGAGGAATAGTGTTAAACCTACTCCTATTGTGGACAAAAAAAATAAATACATAAATAAATAGTAAAAATTTCAGATTTTAAGAAGAGACGTTAGAAGCATTGAGTTGCAGCAGAATTTAGAAGGAACCAGAAACTAAATTCTAAACAGTATACAAGCGATAAACATTTACTCATGTACAAAAGACAAAAGAGTATGAACCAGACGACAGGCAGATCAATCTACTTCTATCGCGGAAAAATAAATAAATAGGAAGCAAAATTTCAGAGTATAGGCGGATACTTTAGAATTGTAGAGTTGAAGTATATTTTAGAAGGAACCGGAAACCCAATCCTAAACAGAAAACAAGGGATAAACGTCTGCTTCGGTTAACAAAAAAAAAAAGATAAAAAAAAAAGCAGAAAATAGATGATGCTATCTCCACCTATTGTGGACAAAAGATCAAAATAAAAAAAAAAATAATAAAAATAAATAATAAAAATTTCAGTGTTTAAAAACAGACGTTAGATTGAGCTGCAGCAGAAGTTAGAAGGAACCAGAAACCCAATCCTATACAGTAAACAATGGATAAACATCTACTTCTGTTAAAAAAAAACGGGGAAGAGTGTGAACGGGACGATAGGCAAACCTATCTACTTATATCGAGGAAAATAAATAAATAAATAAAAATTAAAATTTCAGAGTATAGGCAGAGATTTTAGAAGTATAAAGTTGAAGTAAATTTTAGAAGGAACCTGAAACCAAATCCTAAACAGGAAACAAGAGATAAACGTTTACTTCGGTTTTAAAAAGAAAAGCCCCCAAAACAAAAATTCTCTACTCCTATTATGGACAAAAAATAAAAATAAAAATAAATAAAAATAAAAAATAAAAATAAATAATAAAAATTTCAGAAGAACAGACGTTAGAAATATTGAGTTGAAGCAGAATTTAGAAGGAACCGGAAACTAAATCCTAAACAGGATACAAAAGATAAATATCTACTTCGGTTTAAAACATACGACTAGAAGTTGTATACAGACAATAGATGAAGCTATCTACTTTTGTGGACAAAAAATAAAAATAAATAAATAGTAAATTTTCAGTGTATAGGCGGAAATTTTCGAAGGATAGAGATGAAATAGATTTTAGAAGTATCCGAAAACTCAATCCTAAACAGGAAACAATGGATAAATGTGTACTTCGGTTTAAAAAAAAATCGAGTAAGAGTTGGATCCAGACAATAGGTGAACATATCTATTACTATTGGGGACGAAAATGAAAAAAATAAATAAATAGTAAAACTTTCCGAGTTTAAAAATAGACGTTAGAAGTATTGAGTTGCAGCAGAATTTAGAAGGAACCGGAAACCCAATCCTAGACAGTAAACAAGGGATAAACATTTACTCCTGTTCAAAAGACCGGGGAAGAGTATGAACAGGGCGATAGGCAAATCAATCTACTTCTATCGAGGAAAAATAAATAAATTAATAGTAAGTAAAATTTCAGAGTATAGACGTAAACTTTAGCCGTATAGAGTTGGAATAGACTTTAGTAGGAACCAGGAACTCAGTCGTAAACAGGAAACAAGAGATAAACGTCAACTTCAATTAAAAAAAAAAAAAAAAAAAAAATCAGTAAGGGCTGGAACCAGACAATAGATCAACCTATCTACGCCTATTGTGGAAAAAATAAAAATAAATAAATAAAAATAGATAAATAAATAGTAAAAAATTTCAGAGTTTAAAGCATAGACGTTAGAAGCATTGATGTGAGGCAGAATTTTTTTTTTTTAAGCGTTTCACGCCAAGCAAGGCGGGAAGCCACTAGCACGCAAGGGTTTACAGAAAATTTGGAGCAAGATCAGATAGGAGTGATAGAAGAAAGGAGAAGGAGAAGGGTAGTGGATAGATCAAGGCAACTGGAGATGTCGATTGACATTACATTTGAATAGCTGGAGATTATAGCTCTCAGGGAAACTGGAATAGGGAAGGGAGTTCCACAGGCGAGAGGTGCGAGACATGAAGCTATTGGAGTAGAAGAGACGGCTACATTTCGGAGTTTCGACAGTCAAGGGGTGAGAGCGGGATGCCAGGCTCGTATGGCGCTTGAACTCATGAAGTCTGGGAACCAGCGAATACAGCTCCTCGGAGGAATTGCCATGAAAGTATTTGTAAAACAGACAGAGAGAGGCGACGGCGCGTCTGTGTGAAAGTGACTGTAGACGAGATGCCAGAGCAGGGCCAATTATATTGCATATCCGCCTCTGGAGCCTATCAAGAACCCCGAAGCAAACAGAAGGGGCTCCAGACCATATATAGCAGCAATATTCCATGCAAGGGCGAATTGTTGATTTGTAGATCTGGAGGATCGATTCTGGGGAGAATTTAGAGGGAACAGTAAACAAAACCTCTAATCCTGCTCAAAAGACCGATGAACCGGACGAAAAGGCAAACCTATGTACTCTTCTATCGAAGAAAAATAAATAAATTTCAGAGTTTAAGTATAGACGTTAGAAGTACAGAGTTGAAGCAGAATTTAGAAGGAACCGGAAACCCAACCCTACATTTCTACTCCTGTTCAAAAGACCAGGAAAGAGTGTGGACCGGACGATAGGCGCACTTATGAACCCCTCCTGAGGAGAAAAGAAATGAAATAAATAGTAAATAAAATTTCAGAGTTTAAAAAAAGGAAATATTGTGAAAGCGAAAAAGGTGGGTTCGAATTTCAATGTGGAATGAAAGAAGTGGAAAGAGGAATAATTGAGATACGTATTAAACAATTACACAGACAGAGGAAGACGAGAAATAAATTTCAAATGAACCGGTAACGGTAAACTTTATAATATTGGGGTTAGTTGCTATAATTACAAAACTTATTCGGCCGCCTTAACTTATTCGTTGTTATACTGCTCCGTGTGGCTGATCCTTGAGTCGATATGAGTTAGTTGCCCAACAGGGACAAAGTATCAAATTCTTTGCTTAACAAAGAAAGAACAGGTGAACTTGACAACACATAAATTAGGAATACGCTTGTACTGTCAGAATAAGATATACAGCATGTTTTGTCTAAATGGGATTATGTACAACATGTGTTGCTGAAAAAGATCCAACAGTATTATGATGATTTTCTAAGCGTAGCCTAGATGTGACACAAGGCCGAAAGTATGGGGCACCCAGTGAGGATCGAACTCGCTACTTAGTCGTAACTGTTCTAGCGAGACAAGTGTGTTAACCATTAGAGCACGTCGAGGCGACCAGATACAACGGTATATGTGTGTACCTCAAAAACTGGGGATGACGAGCCTGACAGCTGCTCTCTCCTCTGGCCTAGCTTTAACAGCTCAGTGGGGTTGGGTTGTAAAATCTGGCTGGGTACATTCAATAGCTAGAAAACCAAGCTAGCGGACCCTGAATTTTTGCCTATGGAGATGAACGGGTGTTCTCTCAAAGAGGCCGCGTCTTGGTCGCCTTGATCAAACCAGGACTCAACGGGAACTCGTATATTCGGTCCATCGCGAAAGATGCTGGTAAAATGGTCGCTTCGCTGTACCTGATACGACCTGCTATCTGCTTTACAACCCTTTTCTCACAGACGAAACGCTATTCTAACGCTATTTCCATGGAAATTGTTCAATCAAACTACAATCCCTTATTTCCATCAGTCCGAAACTTCATGGCTAAGACCTTCCACGAATCCCACATTGTAGACAAAACACTCTTTTTCCTCCCCTGTACTGTACATATCCCTGAAATAGGGAATAACTGTATTTAACGTATTACTGAAAAGGGAATGAACTGTGCTGTACATG